AAAAAAAAAAAAAAAAAAAAAAAGACTAGCCATGTTGGTTCAGGAAGAAATAAAGCTCATTAGTATGAGCTACAAAACTGGGAGGGAAACCACAGAACAGGCCCTAAATAAATGCCATCTCCCTACAGGTCCCTCCTGATGGGTTTGTGAATCCTTAACAGCACTGTGCTTACTATGAGCACAACTTTCTTTGGCAAGGTAATCCGTTTAGAAAGGAGGATAGAGGTTTCTGCTAAATACAATAAACCTAGGCATCTTAGAGGAAGACAACTCAGGACACAGGGAATACTGCAACAGAGGTGATTGGGAAAGCCCCTACAAGCTTAGCTCACCTAAATAAACAAGGACTTCATGCCTAGAGAATAATTACTAAAAAAAAAAGGGTTATTATCTAAAGGAAAGAAGTATGGGGGCTGAGTGGCTCAGTTGGTTGAGCGATGAACTCTTGATTTCGGCTCAGGTCATGATCTCAGTTTGTGAATTCGAGCCCCATGTTGGGCTCCGCACTGACAGGGTGAAGCCTGCTTGGGATTTTCTCTCTCCTTTCCCCTCTCTCGCCCTCCCCTGCACATGTGTGGACACATGCACTCTCTGTCTCTCTCAAAATAAATAAATAAACTTTACAAAAATAAATTAATAAAGAAAGAAAGAAGTATGGACAAAGTTCATCCTAGTTCTCACTTATCCAAGCTGTGGAGGGAGGCTGCTCTCTGCTTTTAGCAACAATACAAAAAAGTATGTGTCAGACGGAAATCATTCAGCCTCCAGATGGAATACTTCGTCCATTCAATCCCATTGTAGTGGCAATTATATCACAGAGGATTTGTTCGTCTACTTATTTTAAAAATAAAAACTTCCTATGGGAACTAAAACCCCTCACAAAGCCAAGGCTAACTGTACTGACCATGTTCAAATCCTATCTGTTCAACCTGTAAGTCTTTTTCTCTCTACTTAAGCATTTAACCTTTCCAGGGTCTAGGTATGACATCAGTGGCAGATGCCAAAACTGACAGATACACTTTCATAATTTTTTATCCAAATTCTTTATGCAAAAATACCATAATCAAAGTTTAAAGGCCAAATAAGAACTAGAAGGAAATCTTTGTAACATATATAACAGAAAAACACTAATACATATTTTTCAGAGTTCAGCAAAATAAACTACCAACAGAAAAACGAGCACACGGCCCATCAACACTTGAAAAAATACAAGTAATCAACTTTAGAAGTGAATAAACAAAAGGTAGGTTAAATGTATCAAAATGGGAAAAAAATAAGTGTAACAGACACAATGCAAGATGAAGAACTCTCTTTTGTGTTGCTGATGGGTTTGTAAATTGCTACAAACAGCCTACAGCCTAGAATCTAGGCCCTAAATGCATTAATACAAGATATGATGGTTAAATAAACTATAATTCATTCACGAATTGAATTAACATGTAATCATTAAAGATGCTGAACAAGAATATGTACAGGCATATTTCGGAGGTATTACAGGTTCGGTTTCAGACCACTACAATAAAGCTAATAATACAATAAAGAGAGTCAAAGGGATTTTTTGGTTTCCCAGTCCATCATAAGGTTATGTTTCTACTATACTATAGTCTATTAAGTGTGCAATAGCCTCTGTCTAAAAAAACAACGTGCATACCTTAATTTAAAAATACTTTTTAAGTTAAGTAATTTAGGGGCACCTGGGTGGCTCAGTCGGTTAAGCGCCCAACTCTTGATTTCAGCTCAGGTCATGATCTCATGGTTCATGGGATCAAACCCCGAGTAGGACTCTGCGCTGACAGTGTGAAGTCTTCTCGGGATTTTCTCTCTCTCACTCTGCCCTTCCCCCACTCTCCAAAATCTATAAACGTTAAAAAAAATTACTTTATTGCTAAAAAAATGCTATCATCTGAGTTTTTTTTTTTTATTTTTTTAAGAGAGCGAGCAAATGTGCACCCACAAGGGGGAGGGGCAGAAAGAGAAAGGGAGAGAGAGAGAATCCCCAGAAGGCTCTGTACTGTCAGTGCAGAGTCTGACGCAGGGCCTAATGCAGGGCCTGATCTTAGCAACTGTGAGATCATGATCTGAGCTGAAATCAAGAGTCAGATGCTGAACTGACTGGGCAGCCCAGATGCCCTCCAACATCTGAGCTTTCAGTGAGTCATCTTTATACTGGTGGAGGGTCTTGCCTCCATGCTGAGAGCTACTGACTGATCATGTTGCTGAAGCCGGGGTGACTCCAGCAGTTTATTAAAACAAGACGACAATGAAGTTTGCCGCATCAACAGACTCTTCCTTGCATGAACAATTTCCCCCCGGCATGTGATGCTGTTTGTTAGTATTTTACCCACAGCAGAACTTTCAAAATTGGAGTCAATCCTCTCCAACCTTGTTATTGCTTTGTCATCCAAGTTTATGTAACATTCCAAATCCTTTGTCATTTCAACAATCCTCACAGTGTCTTCACCAGTAGATTCCATCTCAAGAAACCCCATTCTTTGCTCAGACATAAGAAGCAACTCCTCATCCACTCAAGTTTTACCATGAAATTGCAGGAATTCAAATATAATTAACAGGGGTGCCTGGGTGGCTCAGTTGGTTAAACATCCGACTCTTGACTTTGGCTTGGGTAATGGCCTCATGAGTTCGTGGGTATGAGTCCCACATCAGGCTCTGTGTTAACACTGCAAAGCCTGCTTGGAATTCTCTCTCTTCTCTCTGCCCTGCCCCCCCAATAAATAAGCTACAAAATATACATATACATATATAGTATATGCATATGACCACATACCTACACATAATACATATACATATATATGTATATTTTATATGTATAGTAACAAGCCTAAAACATTGCAAGGATTACCAAAATGTGACATAGTCACGAAGTGAGCAAATGTTGTCAGGAAAATGGTGCTGAAGGAGTTCCTTGACACAGGGTTGCCACAAACCTTCAATTTGTAAAAAGCACAATGTCTGTGAGGCACAATAAAGTGAAGCACAATAAAATAAAGTGTGCCTGTATTGATTTCATACATTTTAAGCAGGACAGAGTACTAGAGAAAGGAAAGAATGAAGCCTTCATTCTTTATACTTTCTACATCTTCCACCCATCCCTTAAGTGTTTATGTTTATAATTTTTAATTAATTTTTGTGGTAAACGAAGCAAGATTATTGTTAATGTTCTTAATTGTGCTTACTAACATGTTCTAATTTTTCTACAATGTATACGTAATACTCATAATTTTTTAATGTTTATTTATTTTTGAGTGAGTGGGGGAGGAACAGAGAGAGAAAGAATCCCAAGCAGGCTCCATACTGCCAGCACAGAGCTCAATGCAAGGCTCAAACCCACGAACTGTGAGATTATGACCTGAGCCGAAATCAAGAGTCGGACCCTTAACCAACTGAGCCACCCAAGCACCCCAACTCGTTAATTTTTTAGAAAACAAAACTTAATTGCAAACAGGAGAACTTTGGCTTTCTGTATGCCCCACTTTGGAGCTTAAGCACAGGAGCAGGATCAAGACCTCAGATACCCAGCACAAGGAACATCTGCGCTATTAAAAAAAGAAAAGATGCATCATCTAACACATGTGTTTCTTATTCGGTACTGCCAGGCCACACACTCATTCTATCCTTCATTCCCTGAAAACTACAGAGGCCATGAGCCCAGAGGCTAGAAAAAGCCTCACCATCGGGCAACAGCCCTTTGAGCAGACATAGGAATGTTATGTTTGGTGCAAATAGTTAAGTAGAATCCTCAGCAAGACTTGGTGTCTCCAGGTACCATTTGACTCTACCAGAAGGCAGTCACTTCTTGGCTGACCTTCACAGTGTTCTCAGGTTACCTCCTCTCCCCATCACTGTTCCCATCTTGATCCTACCTGAAGCACAGCGTTGGCATAGTCATTGGCCTTTATGTTATTCAAGCCCACGATACCCGGCAGATAAGTGGTCCCATCATATGCCCGGGACAATTTGGCTTGCTTGTCCAAGTTTGCAATCTGCTGCTTTGTGAAAGTGGGCTTCAACACATACTGCAAAGCAAAAGAAAATTCCAAGATGTTTCAGGACTGTCTACAGAGTTCACAAGAGCTATGTGAAATAGCAATTTTTGTCAAAAACAAAAAATACTTTGGTCATGAATGTCTCATCACACAACCAAAGGGCTCCCAACCAAAGAGCTCCCAACAATAGGTATAAAAGCTGAGGTAACATTGAACAGGCCCTCTCCTTACTAATCTAGAAGGGGATCTCTGTGTTTAACCCAAAATCACTGAATCCCCAGGTCTTTCTTCAGACCTCACATCTGGCCAACTCCATGATAAACAACGGTCCAAAACCGGAGGACACACACGTCTCTGCAGGCAGCAGGAGTCTGAGTGTCAGGTGAGACCTCACACAGGACTGGTACGGACCCAGCGCAGAAGCAGGAATGCCTCCCCACCTCTGTGCAAATCTGAGATCTGATACTCCCTATGGCTGGAGGGGCAAGAGCAGAACCTTCCCCGGTCCTAAACCTATAAGGGTCATCACATAAAGGGCTGCAGGGAGGTCTCTACTAAGTCTCTGGGGGACCTTGTACTTACTTCAGTTCCTCTCTCTAATTACCATCCATAACTACTTTAACCTCAACTATTAACAGGCATATAAAATTTACAAAAGTAGCATAGTGTTTCAAACACTCGACACTAAGCTTTCCTTAAAAATGAACAAAGCATTCAGCATGAATACACAGACACTTGCTAAAAAATAAACAATAATCAATAGTTCCAACATTAATCAAACCCAAGAAGACCTTCTATGATCTCTTAAGTACAATGACTCTTGGCACAGATCACACACCAGAGCCCACAGATGGGAGGCACTGGCCATTTGGCCTGCATCATATCAAAAGTAGTCATGAGCTGGTATGCAGCTTGGTATCCACTATCCTACACCAGGCCTAATTCATATCCTTCCTCCAAAGTGTGGAAGGTAATATACTTCACAAAAATGCTTTCACCCCAATTAGAAAGTAGCTGCATTTCTTTAGTCCTAACCCACAATGTTAGAAGCAGAAACAGCCGCTAGATTGCAGACCATAGGCCACAATTATGAATCCAGACCTTCTTACTAAGGTCTCTCTTGCTGCTCCCAAAGGGAAAGGAGCCTCTCCAAGCCCGAGAAATGGAGATTCTTCCCTAACCTCGGGGCGGGCAAATCCCCAGGAGCCCTAGGCTGGCCCCCAAGAGAACTAGTTCCAAACCAGCCTCCTGGATACATACTGTGATATCCTCCAGCGAGGAATCGATGATCTCATAGTTATCTGGAAGGCAGTAAAACTTGAGGGTGTGGAGGTTGAGGAAGACATGGTGGCTAAACTGGACACTGTGAATGTAGGCATGAGACTTCAAACCCCGGCCTGTAGGGAAGAATGAAAGGCAGTGTAGGGCAGATGCCAGAAAGAGACAAATCAGATTTGATTTTCCTTCAGTATTTTGTACTGGAATGTATTAATATTGGCAAAAACAAAGTACTACACCATCTGTGCAATGAATCTCCTACATGAACTTTTCTCACCACAAAAGTTAGCAAGAAAGAATAGCACATTAGTACTTTATTCCTTGGATGGCATTAAGACACTGGTTAGAGAGGGCCGGGTGGGTGGCATAGTTGGTTAAGCGTCCGACCTCAGCTCAGGTCACGATCTCACGGTTCATGGATTCAAGCCCTACATCAGGCTCTGTGCTGACAACTCAGAGTTTGGAGCCTGCTTCAGATTCTGTGTCTCCCTCCCTCTCTGCCCCTCACCCGCTTGAGCTCTGTCTCTCTCTCTCAAAAATAAACATTAAAAACTGAAGAAAAAAAAAATCTCTCTAGAGGAGACCTGTAGCTGGCGCTGAAAACTTCACAAGTTTAAAATGCACAACACTGGGGAGCCTGGGTGGCTCAGTCAGTTAAGCATCTGACTCTTGGTCTCAGGTCAGCTCATGATCTCACGGTTCATGAAATCGAGCCCCGACATAGGGCTCAACACTGACAACATGGAGCCTGCTTAGGATTCTCTCTCTCCCTCTCTCTCTGCCTCTCCCCAGCTCACGATCCCTCTCTCTCTCTCTCAAAAACAAATAAACATTGTTTAAACATTTAAAACAAATAAAATAAAATGCACAATGCTTATTTACCCTGAAAGTACTTGCCACACACCAGACAGGCATATGCATTGATATGTGAAAGGGAGATGGAACACAGTTTCTCAAAGTCAAAGTCCAGCACACTCCTAAAATAACCAAACCAAAGAAAAAAACAATTAATAGGGACAGAGGTCTAGGAAAGCACTCAAGAGAAGCAGCATTGGCTCCACACTGCACAATGTCACATAGCATCCTTCAGAGATAGTTCAACAACCTTCTATAAACTGTGAGAAACATTAACTATTCCTCTCCTCAACATTTACTATAGCAACCTCACCCACCAAGTCCCAAAGCAGTGTCAAAGTATCTATACTAGACACATAATGCCAGCGACCATCTTTTTTCTTTTTTTTAAATTTACAACCAGTAGAGAACCTTTCATTGCAGTCGCTTTCTCTGGAGGAAAAGCTACAAGTAGGACTAAAGTGACAGGACCTCAACAGCATTCCAAATTAAAAGGCTGGGGGTGGAAGGATATCAAGAGTGAACAAACCCTTTTATAGAAGAAAAACCTATTTTTGTCCATAAAAGTAAATGGGAAACCTGAATATTAGGAGAATACCTACAAATCGATCTACTTATTCAACGGCAAAGTAATGCTATATGAGTACCAGGCAGATTAAGGGACAAAAAAACTTTACTTTTATTGAATCCAAAGGTGACAAAGAGATTTCTCCTCAAATATTAACTCTAATTAATTGTTACTGGTCCCAGGAAAGCTATACTGTCCATTAAAGGAAGCAAGAGCCACAAGTTGATACTGAAATTTCTAAATAATTAAAATTTGGGACACCTGGGTGGCTCAGTTAGTTAAGCATCTGACTCTTGATTGTGCTCAGGTCATGACCTCACGGTTCATGGGTTCAAGCCTTAGGTCGGGCTCTGCACTGGCAGTGTGGAGCCTGCTGGGGATTCTCTCCCTCTCTCTCTGCCCCTCCCCAACTTGTGCACATGCTCTCGTGCTCTCTCTTTCTCTCTCTCTCAAAAATAAACATTTAAAAAAAATAATAAAATTTGAAACTTGGTTCCTCAAGCCATGTTTCAAGTCATTAGCCATAAATGGCTTGTGCCTGCCACAACAGATAGCCCTTATAAAGAGTAACTCCACAGGGCGCCTGGGTGGCTCAGTCAGTTAAGCTTCCGACTTCAGCTCAGGTCATGATCTCGCGGTTCGTGAATTCAAGCCCCGCGTTGGGCTCTGTGCTGACAGCTCAGAGCCTGGAGCCTATTTCAGATTCTGTGTCTCCCTCTCTCTCCCTCTGACCCTCCCCCGTTCATGCTCTGTCTCCCTCTGTCTCAAAAATAAATAAACGTTAAAAAAAAAAATTAAAAATAAAAAAAAATAAAGAGTAACTCCACTACTAAGAAAACTTCTATTAGCACTACAACCTTAGAGCATAAGTTGAAAAGCACTGTAAGATGCCATCTGGAATCAAAGAAAAGAAACAGGGATGAGGTAACTACCTCTGTTTTAGGACATACCTGTTTTTCTTTTCTCTGTTGAATTCCAGCCACCTAGAGTAGTACCTAGCACGTAGTGAGTGCTCAAAAAACATTTAAATTTGCTACCATCATTTTAAGTACACTATGCACTCTGTTATTCCACCAAACAAATTCAAACTAAGCTAAAAGCTCTTTATGCATGTGCCCACCCTTAAAAAAAAAAATGCCCCCTAACACTTTATATTAAAAGACAAAGATAAATACGGCAAGAAGCACAATCTTCTGGGCAGAAAGCCTTAAAAAGAATAAAATTTGTGATCATTTGACATAGAGTCAAATCTATGCACTTCCTGCATAGATTCCATCATTCTGTGCTGCCCTTGACATCCCTGTCCTACTAACCTGTTAATGGTATCCAGGTACGGGCAATGGCGGCTCCTCCGGTCCTCAGAATCCACGCGGCCATTCTTTGCTGAAAGGAAAATCATCACAGGCTGTGAAAATGGGAAACCAGTACTCAGGGTGAACTACTAGTACAAAGAAACCCAGAAATGAGAAAAACTAAACAGGATGAGCTCCTACACAGGAGGCATGGCAATACACCAAAAAGCCCACTAATGGAACAAGTGCCAAATTGGGAGAATATATGTGAAACTCATAGAACCAAAAAACGATTCATTTGCAGATTACATAAAGAAATTGGTGAAACAATAAAAGACAACCCAACAGAAAATGAGGAAAATATCCTCAACGACCAAGAAAATGCAAATTTCCCTGGACAATAATACACCACTTCATATCTACCACAGAAGGAAAGAAATATATATACATATATATATATACACATCTTTATCCATTCATCCATCGATGGACATTTGGGCTCTTTCCATACCTTGGCTATTGTCGATAGTGCTGCTATAAACATGGGGGTGCATGTGTCCCTTTGAAACAGCACACCTGTATCCCTTGGGTAAATACCTAGTAGAGCAATTGCTGAGTCGTAGGGTAGCTTTAATTTTTGGAGGAACCTCCATACTGTTCTCCAGAGTGGCTGCACCACTCTGCATTCCCACCAACAATGCAAAAGAGATCCTCTTTCTCCACATCATCGCCAACATCTGTTTTTGCCTGAGTTGTTAACGTTAGCCATTCTGAAAGGTGTGACATGGTATCTCATAGTGGTTTTGATTTGTCTTTCCCTGATGATGAGTGATGTTGATTGAGCATTTTTTCATGTGTCTGTTTGCCATCTGGATGTCTTCTTTGAAGAAGTGTCTATTCGTGTCTTTTGCCCATTTCTTCACTAGATTATTTGTTTTTCGAGTGTTGTTTGATAAGTACTTTATCGATTTTGGACACTAACCCTTTATCTGATATGTCATTTGCAAATATTTTCTCCCATTCTGTCAGTTGCCTTTTAGTTTTGCTAATTGTTTTCTTTGCTGTGCAGAAGCTTCTTATTTTGATGAGGTCCCAATAGTTCACTTTTGCTTTTGTTTCCCTTGCGTCCGGAGATGTCTTGAGTAAGAAGTTGCTGCGGCTGAGGTCAAAGAGGTTTTTGCCTGCTTTCTTCTCTAGGATTTTGATGGCTTCCTGTCTTACATTTAGGTCTTTCATCCATTTTGAGTTCATTTTTGTGTATGGTGTAAGAAAGTGGTCCAGGTTCATTTTTCTGCATGTCACTGTCCAGTTTTCCCAGCACCATTTGAAGAGACTGTCTTTATTCCATTGGATGTTCTTTCCTGCTTTGTCAAAGATTAGTTGGCCATAAGTTTGTGGGTCCATTTCTGGGTTCTCTATTCTGTTCCATTGATCAGAGTGTCTGCTTTTGTGTCAGTACCATCCTGTCTTGATGATTACAGCTTTGTAATACAGCCTGAAGTCTGAGAGTGTGATGCCTCGAGCTTCGGTTTTCTTTTTCAAGATTGCTTTGGCTATTGGGGGTCTTTTCTGGTTCCATACAAATCTTAGGATTGTTTGTTCTAGCTCTGTGAAGAATGCTGGTGTTATTTTGATA